TAACTCTTATTCTCTATTATCCTTTTTGATGTTGCGGTAATTTTTCTCGTTTTCAACTCCAAGGAGACGGTAAAGATTGGTTATTCTTGTTACATTTTGGAAGAGATTTTCGCCTACTGTAGATAGCTGTACGCAATGACGCACATTGTGCAGCTCGCCCAAACGCCTCCGCCTTCTCTTTTAAATTTTTCAAAGTTAAAATCCGAACTAAACCCAAAATTAACGTGAATTGTGCCTGTGAGGAAAGGCTGTTCTGTAGTATCTAAGACGGTACGTAGGTCCGATATGTTGATATAGGATATGTCAGCTCGGTCATTCCGGGGAGTATTCCTCTTGGAAAGAGAAAAAGTTTGGGATGTTTCTTAAACGTTCAATGGTAAGTACTTCTCCGAATGTATCAGATACGCTTAACCAGGTCAAGAAGCCAATATGAATGGTAAATCCACGGACTTAAACAGGGGAACGAGCTGTACGTTGAGCATCCCAGAACATCGTGGACGTGGTGCAAGAACAAAACTGGCGGTCGGTTGCGCACTTAGCTTTTGAACTTCACGGCAAACTTATGGATAATACGATTAAATGAATACATCATATAGATAGGGAAACTAGATGAATGTCTATAAATTGAGGATGATTTTGACTGTATTTCCTGTCATTACAGAACGTTCACGGCATGGGTCAAATGGTTGGAACTGTTTGTCGCGCTTTTCCACGTATTGCATCGTATCGTGAGGAAGCTTAGAAAGATAGTGATCGAAGACTGAGGGTGCAATGCCCAGTGCAACAACCGAAACCAGCTGTTCAACGCCATGAGACAGCTGACAAAGACATACCGTGCCTTCTAAGCTCTACGGATTTGAGTTTTTTGATAGTCGCCAGAATGTTTATGTGTACAAGCCCACCGCGGTGAAGGAAAAGCAAAAGTTGTGCGAAAACTCCTCTCATCCATGTGAACATACTCACCTTTCGGACACGTCCCTTTACATGGCTCACACCTTCTCGAATCCTTTGTCATATCATGATGCGATCCTTCCGAACAATGACGAACACAAGCGTCCCGTTCGACCAGAAGTTCTTCTGAAAAACAAAATTCAGACGATCACTGAGCCTCTCTCGTAACGCTTATTGAAAACTGGTTTTGCATTTGTAAGGATCCCCTATCTTTTACAAGCCGGACTGCTCAACTTGCGCCAAGCTCCCGTTTCCCTGTAGCTCAAGCAAAAGATTCCGGTTATCCTACTTTATATAATTCGCTAAGTGTGTGTGTGTGTGTGTCGGTGTGTGTGTGTGTGTGAGTGAGTGTGTCTCGGTGTGTGTTTGACCGGAAATTCATAACTCCTGTTCCCGTGGACCTAGAAAGCTCAAATTTGGCAAGAGTGCAAGGGCAGCATGGGAACACTTATGGCAGGTGGCAGGACCGGACTCCGCCCACAGGAGGCGGGGCGTGCGCGATAGAAATTTTCTACCGTAAATTCATAACTCCTGTACCAGTGGACCCAAAGCGTTCCACCTCGGTAGGAGTACAGGGGACAGCATGTGAACACCTATGGCAGGTGACAGGACCAGACTCCGCCCACCGGGGGCGGGGCGTGCGCGATAGAAATTTTATGTCGCAAATTGATAACTCTTGTTCCCGTGGACCTGGGAAGGTTAAATTTGACAGGAGTACAGGGGGCGGCGTGGAAACACTTATGGGAGGTAGCCAGATCGAACTCTGCCCACAGGGGGCGGGGCGTGCGCAATAGTAGTTTTAGGCTACAAGTTCGTAGCTCCTGTTTACGTGGTCCCAGCGCGTTGAAATTTGGTAGGAGTACAGGGAGCAGGATAGACTGGACACTGATGGTAGGTGATAAGCGGTGATAATATTATAATTTAAAGGAGTTGATAAAGAGCCTTGAAGGGCGAGAACCACAGGAACCGTTACTTACTTCCTGTCAACGGCAGCGCTTTGGCATTTCGGAAAACTGTTAGAGACTGATAGAAACTGATAGGAGGCGAGAGCCGATAAGTCTACAACGTCTTTCATACTATTATAACAACTGAGCATTCCAGTAGGTAGTGCAGGATGTGAAGGGACCGAAGTTAAGTAAGAAGTGATAGCGACAGATAATAACAAGCGAGCAAGCGTTGCAAACCCCTTCGTGTCTACAGTGGAACTTTTTGAAAGACGCAATGTAGGATGTGACGTGGCCTTAGAGAGCAAAAGGGTATTTATGATCAAACACTGACTCTTTAATGCTGTAAATGCTGTAATAGCGACCGATCAAAGACATTTCTTCATAACGAAATGAGAATTTTGTTCATTTCTTGCTATTAAACTACGACCGTTACGCCGTAAGCTTTGTGACACAATGAAGTACCACGATTCCTTTTTGTTTTGTGACATATCATTTGTGACTAAACATCTGACCGTTAATGATTTGGGATTCCCAAATAATGAAAAATCCGTGGAGAAAATGTTCCATTGACAACGGCAACTGTGATAGGCGTTATTATCCATTTCTGGGTAACATTCAAGACATTCGTTGTCAATCAGTTAAGCCATCAAAGTGACACAATTTCGAGATGAAGAGCAAACAATACAGAAAAATCGCTCCTAATTCACAGGTAATGCTGAGGGTGTAGAGCTTTCAAAGAAGAAGGTGAATCCGAAGTGTTACTTACGCATAGCAAATTTCTTGCAGGAAGGAAAAGCGCCCGGCGAAGCCGGGCGACACCGTGAGAAGGAGGGAAGCTCAGCGCTAGCCGGGCGGCCCGACTGCTAATTCAGAATGGTAGAAGTTGAAGCACTAAGAAGAAAAGGAGTGTAAATTAGGAAAAGTGGAAGACATAACAACCGAAAAATATTCCGTTGTCCTTTCGAACTCAGACGAATCATGCTTTTATTTAAGTTGGAGTTTACGGTTAACCCTCTAATCGTCTTCAGGTATTGAATTACTTTCCAGCCACGAAATCTCTTGAGACGAGTTCTCCCAATCACGCGGGCATTGCAAATTCGACAAGGGGGTACACGCAAATTGCTTGTTTTGCAAAATTCTATCTTCGCCTTGAATCTTAACAATGGCTAACCATCAAGTATTCAATGCTTTCAATGCTTTTCTTTGATGGATCTACTGGCGCCCTACCTTTCTTTAAATTGAGCACTCTGGTCAGACAACTAAAGCCTCAAATGATATTTACCTAGGTTGTGAATAATGATTGTAACATCATCGGAAGACTATATAAATGATCACTCTTATCTCATGTACATAAATCATGGGCCGAAGTTCTCACATTGTTGAAGCCAAGTAGGTTTTGGGACAATTGATTTAGAATGAGGAATGCACTGTTCTTATTAGGTCGCAAACTTATGCTCGCGTAAACTGATGGCAAGAAATGAAAAACCCCATCCTCCTTATACGGTTAAGATTTTGATCGCTCGTCACTTTAGTGCCTTTCATATGTATCACCAACTACCATTCCGTATAAGCCAAGCCTACGAGATATCGAAATTTCAAGGCTACAGTAATGGCCAGAATTATATGTAAAGACGAATCGGAATGTCAAGACTACAGTAATGGCCAGAATTTTATGTAAAGACGACTTCATGGGTGTTCCTTGTTTTCATGAATAGTTTCTAAAGCTGTTCCTACAGGTAGTACTACTCGTGAGAAACTGAAATTGTTTCCTTTCCTTCTCAGGTCTTTAGTTCACGGCAAAAATTTTCGTGTCTTTTCCCACGACCTTTCATCTTTACTGCACTGTATTTTATTTGGCATATGGATAAAACGTTCGTAGCATGGACCATATCAGCTGATGTTTGCAATGCCATTATATGATGAGGTGAACAAGTAATGAAACAAGCCAAACTAGCACGACTTTTTCACATTGCTGGATCAACATTGAGTATTTTTCTGAAAAAAAGTTTCAGCAAGCGGAGTAGTTGCAGCAGCGCCGCATCCAGAAATAAATCGGATGACCTCAAGAGCTACCGACAGAAACATCCTCCGATTGAGTCGAGGCGATCCCAGGCTTACCTCCACCTTCACCAATCATCCCATATTTCGGCAGTGATCCTTCTTCTGTGGCTACATTTTTTCGTTTAGCTTCCACCTCCCTCAAACTATTAGCTTGATTGAAATTGTTGTAGCACGTATGATGTTCAACCATTTTCATCATTCTTTAAAACGACCTGAGAAGGTTAGAGTATCTGCACGATGACTGTCTAAGGGAGCGTCTAGTTAGTCCTACAGACCTATCTACAACCCTTATCTACAAACCTCTATTAAAGAGCTAGTGTCCAGTGAATCGGATCACCTACTCATTCTAGTGCACTGTTTCACATCCTTTCATCCTATTCAATCTCAACAAACCTGTTGGCTGAAAATCTTCATTGAAAAGTTCTCTCTCTCTCTGAGACTGAGACTATCTAATATAGGTAATGCACCAGCCATCACCATCCCAGATCACTATCTTCGCTTGTCTCCAGTTCCCATTGTCCACGACATCGCCCCTTCAGCAAGTCTTCATTTTTGGCCATTAACATGATATCATTTCAGTACGGCTTAATCGTTGAATGTCGGGTATTTTCATAATTTAGAATCGCTCGCTATGTCTAATGTTCGACATTCTCACACTCCCTCGTTCTGAAACGTTGTTACATCACTCAGGTGCTTCCCTTGAGGAGACGGGCGTTAGGAACGATTTTGGGTAATCGATTTGCCGCACGCGGCTGTCGCGGAAGACTCATTCGCGGCTTTATTGCGGCTCTGGCATTCTTCATACAGCTCAATCGATATGCGATCATTATTTTATGCATAATTCTACTATTAGTACTTTTGTTCTTGTATTTCTTACCTACTGCTGCATCCTGCTACATTCCTTCGCGCGCGACGCCCCTCTCACCGCGACGCGACCATTTCGTTCCTAACGCACCACACCCCTTCTCTTGCGAATTGTATGCATGCACAATGTACAAAAAATGATCTTCCATAAATAAAAACTGACATGCTTTGTGGGTTTTATGCTGTAGCAAACATGAACATACTGATACCTTCTGATGTTAAGATATGTACAAAACTTGCAAATGTATCGTAGAACTCACTGGGACACTCCTCTACGCAATATCTGTCGTAGATAAAGCGACCGTTCGGGTTCGGAACAAGCATACCCTTTTTGTTGTCATGTACCATCCTTGGCGGGCATTGATGTACACATACACCATCCAGGCTCAGCTCTCGACACGCCTAAGCAAAGAAATACCTTCATCAAGATTTTTCCATTGTGTTCTATGACTGAAAGTATTGCAAGCCATCATCAGACTGTTGCTCTGCCAGTCTTCAATAGTATTCACTCACCACGCACTGATCAGCACCGCGTCCCATGCAGCCACCTGTGCAAGCCTCGTGACAGCACTCATACTCGGTCGAATTTGGTGGTAGGAAGCATTGTCGTGAGGAACATCGATCACCACACACTGATCGGTACACTAAATAGTAATTGGTACTCGGGAAGAAGCCGATGACAAGCAGTCCTTGTCCTGTGAGTGCGACTTTGGCAGTGATCTAATAATCGTGACGTACCCTCTTGGCAGTACTTGGCCTTTCCACTCCAGCAATGCTCACAGTTGGTGCACTTAATCAATATAGGATTACACTGCCGGAAGGCTGAGTCAGACGTGATCAGACGGTTTTCCGCGTCGTCTTCGAGCAGCTGGAAAGAATGGGTTCTGATAAATTCCTACAATATTTGAAGAAAAGGGTCCTGAGTGGCTTTTATTTGGGGCAAAATCTGCTTGAAAATGCTTGCACACAACTTTTTCATGATGCGAAAGTATTAATGCTGCAAAAGAGCAGATGAGTCTCAGCGTATAAAACTGCTTGGAAACGGCGTACTAAAATCGAATGGTTAGGAACAGGAGCCTCTGGAGGAACCACTTCAGATGGTAGAGAGGCACGCGATTGAGAACGAATCAGTTTATCAAGGTTTTCACTTCATAAGCGGAAGTAAAGCTAATGATGAACCTTGTAGTATCGCTAAATATAAAGTGCAGTAAGACTGAAATGAGGAGAGGACATGTGATAATGGATGGAAGCTGCTAGAAGTTGTGGAATACACTGCAGCGCGGCAAAACCACAAAAATCAAAATAAAGTAAAAACCCTCAGACCCAAGGAGATCGAGTAGGAGTGGATCTCTCAATATGAGATATGAAAAAATCATGAATTATTTTTAATAGCTTACTTCATTCCAATTGACTTTCGATTGCAAATAACACAAGAACGTGCTGTTCTCAATGCGGACATTCCCTTTGTGAATGGCTGAAATGATAGAAAATCAGATATGTTTAAGAGAACTTGTTAGTAGAAGTTTCGGCGGAAGTAGCAGTAGATTTCCTTACCTCGCAATTTAGGCATCCGTAACTCTTTCAGTTCAAGATTACTACTCAATGTGAGCGCACTGTTGTCATCCAGTAAATCATCACCCCATATGATCTTGAGATTAGGGAAGTCGATACTTCGTATATCCACATTGTATATCAGAAGATATCCTTTAATCTGAAATATGGTTCAACTGAATCAATCACTAACCACTATGTTCTTGAAACTTTCCTAGCCGGTACATGTAGCAGTTCGGTGTTTGGGCCCTTCAAAACAGTCGAGAGATTTTCGATTCGATAAAAGTAACCTCTATCCTTTACTGTTAGTGTAACTTCTTATATATTTATCTACTTTCAACTCCCGGAGCCCTAATCTCCTAGGTCAGCCAAGCCTTCAACTCTTAAGGGCAGCTATTTGGTAACAAACCCGTCTGGGAAGATAAAACCACAGGCTTGTAGAGGGTGTCCCAAAATTATGGGCGCCAATTCATGTTTCATGGCTATGTATTATTTAAAGCTTCTCAGCTGAGAATGACCATGGAATATTTAGTATGCACGTTTGCTAACATCTTGTGCTACAACATGGTATAATCACGTTTCAAAATATCCCCATGAGCGTGGGTAGAGGCTAAAAGTTTGCTTCCGAACTGTTGCACGCAGGTATCCTCCTTCATTCCTTCCCAACCGTTCTCCATTCTTGCTTTCTAGGACTCCACAGAGGGGCTGCAAACTCGTCAGGTCCTCTTCAGGGTCCATACGGATGAAACAAGTAAATTATGATCTGTATCCAGGATGACCGTTCCTCTTTGCTAGTGAAATCGGGCAGCTTGCGTGGGCACCGCTCTCGGGCGAGCTTACATCTGTGGACTGGAATACCGTCCTGCTGGGAGGGCTGCTTCAGAAAGCGGAGTCGGATCAGTGCTTCATCACGCGCATCGGGACGCCCTCTGATTATAGGCTCTTATCGAATTTCACGCCGGTATCGACGAAACCACGACCGTCCTAACCTTGCCAGTGACTCACTCAAAAAACATCATTTTGCAGTTCTTATTGCATCTTCTTTGTGAGAGATTGCACGTTCGATGTCACAGCCAGGACGTGATCGTTTTATTCAAAGAGAAATGATTTTTTTTGTATCACTTTTTTTAGTTGGAGGAAACGATGAAGGGTTGCGGGTCACCACTCAAGTGAGTTAGCAACTTTCTGCAATTTTTTGCCCTGCAAGCAACTTTCTGCAATTTTTTACCCTGCACTGTCTGTTGAGCTCGGGTGTGTGTCAAGTCGTGCGTCCGAGGGGGCGCGCGGCAAATTGCGCGGCGAAGTTCGTGGCGAATTTGGATGGCTCTGGCGCCTACCATTGGGCCCAAAACTGTAGTAGGGTAAATCAGTGAGGTCAGCTGATCCTACTATTCTACTGTACTTCAAAATTGGGCCCAAATAATAGGCGCTAAAGTCGTCAGAATGGGTATGAATTTCGCCGCGCCAATTGCCGCGCGCACACTCGGGACGCACGACTTGAATGTCCCCCGTTGAGCTCACAATCGAAGCGACATTACTACTCACGGTAGAGACGGCAATCAAGCTTTTGCTTAACGATCCGCCCCACCGACAATCTCAACAAGACCTGCTCCGTTGTCGACTTTTCAATTGGTCACCCAGAATTACGGTCGACTCGCAAACGGACCATTTCAAAAATTGCTATCTTCGGAAACACTAGCCATTCTACCACTTCCTGGTTTGTCTTAGATAGAATCTTCTTCTCTGTATCGTTTAATAGCCTTGTGAACGGATATCATAGGAATCGCGCGAAATTTCATAATGTATTTCCGCCTCTCGCATGCCAATAACTGCAAGTGGTATCCAATAAGCCCCCGCCATCTCAAAGATATAAGAGTTTCACTTCATTAAGCATGCATACTGCGACAAAACCTATTTATGCAACTAATGAAAAGCGGGCGAAGTGAATTTGACAAATTACTCCTATCTTATAAGTTCCTGAACTTTGGCGCCCATAATTTTGGGCACCTTGTACACCGGCTGGCCACCGCATATCGATGGCCACATACTCATTAAACCACAACCACTGCGAATCTCAATGGAGTACGAATAAGGAGTCCCGGAGATATCACATCACGAACCATGTTTACAATACTAATGGCTTCTACTCGGTTCCAAGGTGCAATATTTATATCGAAATCAGTCGGATTGCACAGCTAACGCAAGGCTTCCCTGCTCCTCATGACAGAGTTGTAATAATCGGCGAACCGGCACACCTCTTTGAAACAAATGATACTTTTCTGAACAGGAATTTTGACACATGACTGACACGGCAGGGCAAACGGTACTCAGCTATGCCGATGTCTATGCCTATGATTAGCAGTCTCGATTCGTTGCTTGTCATCAAAAGCAACCACGTTTTCAAGGTTTGATTGTTAGGCAACCGTAGGGTAATTAAAGGTACTTGCAAATGGTGGCGAATGATAATAATACCATTCCGACGTATCGCCATTGATTGATTTTTCCTTTCTCAGCAGATATATCAACAGTTGAGAATCTCAGATTATTGGCATTCTTAAACGTTTTGCCAGGAATGAAAACGAAGAAGAAAACGACAATCGTGATCCTTCATTGAGTCACAGACCTTACTGAGTAACGGCGTAGTTTGTTAACAACAAATGAACCACATTTTTATCTCCTCAGAATGTACATATTGCCTTAGAACGGTCTACCACTGCGCTTGCTCGTCTTGAATGAAACATTTCAAACAGTCAAAGCTAGATCATACATAGCAGAGGCGTTAGGATTTGATTGATAAACGGCTGTTGCTCTCTAGGTCCCCTCATCGGCTCTTATCAGTTGTTATCAGTTCCTGTCATAGAGTACCTACGAAATCGTCACATCCTACATCACCTATTCAAATGCCAGGTTCCACTATCAACTCAAAAGGAGCTACAAATCTATTGGCTCTAGCCTTCTATGGCACTTTGTCAGCACTTATCGTTTGTAAGCAGCCCTTGTCACCAATCACCTACGGTCCCTTTACATCTCACACCACCTGCTTAAGTGCCGAACCTTCACTGTTAATACATGTACATTGTGGACCTAGCGGCTCACACCTTTTATTGCTTGTTATCAGCCTCTAACAGTTGTTATCAGTTTCTATCATCTAACCTCCTTGGTCACTTCCTATACCACACAACCTGCCAAAGTGCCAACGCTCCACCTTTAACGCGAGAGTAACGAAATGTTGCCTTCTGAGACCTCTTACCAGGTCCTATCAGTTGTGAAACTTCTTATTAACTGCTATCAGCGTTCCATCCTGCCGCTTATGTCCCTCCCTAATTCGAGTTGTTCAGCTCAGGAGGATAGAAATGGTGAATTGCCATTCAAAACAAGAAGCGACACACACACCGACAAACTCGCAGGCACGCTTAGCGAATTATATATAGTACAATCACTAGAAAGCTCAAGGTGTTACTTACTCTTTTTCAGTCGTTTGCACTGGTACTTATTGTAAGTCTTATGAAAAAACAGCTGCGCATACTTTGATGCATACGCCTGGCTCTACCCATGTTTTCTGTTAGAGGTATTCAATACCGGCTTGCTCAAGCTATCATCAGAAACATTTTTACTCACAGAACATACGAGTTTTGGTTGAAGCAAGTAAGATGTGAATGATCGAAATACTTTTGTGCCGTACGAGGACTGATAGTCGCCTGTGGCGACAGCGAATTTTCTCCGCTCATGGCGTGGAACCCTGGCCTCTGAAGAAGACGACTGCGTCGAAGTGTTAAGCCATTGACTGAATAAGTTGTTCCACCTAACAACCTCGTGCGGCACAAAAGTATTTCAATCATAAACAACTATGGCGAGACTAAGATGTAAAGGTTTAGCGGGTCCTAACTCGCGCATAGTGAAAATACAATTGAAGGTACAAGTGCTCATATCAATTCGAGCAACTGTGAAGGTGTGGAGGGATTATTTGAACCCTGTTGTGAATTGAAATTTGCATGCATGTTTCATGCGAACTCATAGAATTTCATAGGTAAGCATCCCATGTCCCCTCCTTCGGCTTATTAGTTAAAATAAATCACGTGCACATAAATTTTGTTAATTGAGCAGAAAACAACATTATATAACCATGAAGCATATACATAAAAGCAACATACGAAAAGCCCAACTTTTCTCGCATTCACGACCGACTGCCAGCTTTGACGAAGAAAATAAATTTCTGGGAAAAAGACATGCCGCCTGGTGAATCTACTTCATTGTGAAACATTCGTTGGGAGTCCGCTTCTGCCCGAGCGTGCTACCCTACTAATCCGACAACAGCAGTCGAGGACTGCATGACTCTTTCAATTGGATTTGGTCTCTTCTTTGAATTTAGCCGAGTATAGTCAAATACCTAAATCCAGGAGTTATTTCTTTGCCCAGCGAGCTGCTGTAATTACTGCTTACTTCGGAGATCTCACGACAAGTTTGACGACCTATACCGAAGCGTGTTGAGCGGAAAGGCAGATGAATCTCTTACTACATGAACTAACGCTCTTTCCCGCTAGCCGGTATGCTGGGTATATACTAAACGAAGGGCTCGATATGAGAAAATGAGCCCAGGTTCATTGTTACTACTTTACCATTACCTCAATTTTACTTTCAATGTACTTGTTACTATAGCTTCGATACACACTGCAACATTCACATTACCTCTTGGATGTGTTCGAATATCTTCAGCTTCTTGCTGAAATCGGCATCGGTCCAATTTGTCAGAGTCGTCTTCGTCAAATGGGTGATTTCCACGTTACCGTACACCCGCGTGCAGTTTTCATACATCGTTGTGAGATCTTGGATACGGTTCTCAGAGCCGGCCAAGGAACGCCCATTGCTGGTACCGGAACAGACTGAAACAATGTGATTTCCAGAAAAGTCACCTCTGTAAATAAAAACATACAAATTAGACTGATGTTACGAACTTTCTGGTTGACTAATACGTAATTTCTAGGGAACGTAGGTGAAGGAAGGGAGTTGTGAACCCAGATCTCTTCAGTAATGAAGATTTCGGCTGAATAGAACGTTACCGTATATGCGTTTGAGTGCATGTGTTGGTATGAGGTTAATTCTGTTGGAACTCTTCGCTTGAATCACTTCTGCGCAGTTTACAAGCAAATGGGTCAAGAAAAATGGGATAAAGTTGACTTTTCTAGGCACTCTACCGAATACTTTTAGGCTTTGATGCTTTAGCTCCATCTTACCGACACATATGAGTATTTGGTGAAATAGAGAAGCATTGGATGGCAGATGACAAAAAAAGCTTGCTCCTGACTGATTTGGAAACCAGTTCCCTAGGTTTATTGCTTCACCTGAGCGCATAGCGAAAACATTTGTGTTATCGACGCCCATGACTCCTGCCCTACTCGGCCGCAAAGACCCCGATATCAGTATTTATTGATCGACAGCTGAAAAACTCACAACACTCAGAGTTCGATTGACGGATCGACTGACATCCTGATGACCTCCAGTAGTGTCTGGTCGGTACTGTAGCCCGTAGAAATAATGACAGTAGCAGAACGACCGCTACCGTATTCGTGTGCATAAGATTGCTCGCGTCGCAAACCGTTGATAAACGCCTGTCCTAGAGGCGGGGCCGGAAAGCAATTTTGCTAACGGCCCGAGGCACCGCCGAAATGAATTAGGCCATCTATAGCGAGGTGTAATTAAATAATTCGACACCCAACCAACCTATTAGTTGGAACACCACTTTGTTTCAAAGCTGTGGAACTGAGCTTTTGCATATGGTTTTATAGCCATCTGGTGCAAAGAACATTGTGGATCAGCGCTTTTCTCTCTTGAACAGGGTAGACTGACTGATAAACTTCAGCACATTTTGGGATCTGGCTTTCTATAAATGGCTTGGTCGGATTCACTGGAGGGCTTATCAGAAGGTGGACACACTGTGCAGTCCAGCTCGCAAGGTTTCTTGGTCTAGTGAATATTAAATCTTATTCCTGCTCGAACCAGTACGTTGGAAGAGTTTTTACACGGTGATGTTTGACTTTCGTCCACACAATTGTCACCACAGGTCCTTAGGTCCGAGGAGGTTTAAAGGATGGTTGTGGCGGAACCAGGAGCAACAATATGAGGATTGGTAGAATAATAGAAATGTTTTTTTAAAGACGGCGTTTATGAGTACAGTAAGCTACCCAAGTAGGGGCTTTTTGAGTGCGAATGCCGAACAGCACGCGAGATGTAGCGTCCGGGATCTGAGCGTTTTGACTACCCGAGATAGAATAGGCCTGTGGAACTGGCTTCTATTCATCCTACCTATTTAGATGAAAGAAAATGTTCCTTTTCTGGTGGTTTGTCTGGTGGAGAGGAAAACTATAAATATTGCTCCACTGGTTTGTTACACTTATTGAATGTTGTTTTTATAAACAACTTACTATCAGCGGTGAAAAAAACAGACAAAGTGGCAGAATAACGCTGAAATCTTCTTCAAGTTTGCTTGAAAGATTTCCATCGCACTATTTCATTTGCGCTGTTAGCGGCTCAGGGTGGCGGCTCACATGAGATGTGAACAGAGGATCTAAGCTTCATCATTTTTGAAGCATTCGGGAGTGTGACTACTCTTGGCGAATGAGTTGCAGTTGCGCCACTGACATCTTTAGAAGTCGTTTGCATTGGTTGCTATCATAATCCGCGATTTGGTCCGCTAGCGAGCGAGCGATTGGGGCGGCGGTTGCCCCTTGTTCACAACTGAGTCTTGGTCGGTACCGCCGGACGAGTAGTCCCCGGCTGACTCGCGCGCTCGCTCGCTCGCTCGCGGACTATGAAACCGGCCATTCAGTCATGGTACATAGTATGTGATGCAGGGTAGCAGCAAAAAACTAAGGTCTTGTACATAGAATAACATTGTCTAGTTATTATTTTTTGATCTAGGAGAAATACTTAGCAGACCAACATAAGTGATAAAATGATGCCCCGTATCATTTTAATAAGTGCGGTTGCTATTGAGATCCTTCCACTATTCTGTAATGTATGGTGCCTTTCGAAGGGGTGAACTACAATTGAGTCCAACAGCCCATGTAACATGCTCATGAATGTTTTCGAGTATTCTGCCTCAAGGCAGCGCAGGGTTCGAAAAATAAAAAGAAAAAAAAAAGATTTGCATTGTAATCGTTCAGTGGATCGCGATCGACTTTTTGGACATAGCGTGGAACCTGTGTGTTACTTGGTTTGTACCTTTTCAAGACTATGCAACTTTATTAGACTTTCACTTCCGCCACTTTCCCTTCATCTGGGTCTGGAAAAATCGAAAAAAAAACTAATAGTGGTTTCCATCCACAAGGTCAAACCAATTCCCAGACAATTCGTCAGACAGCAGACTCCCGAACGTGAGTGGTTACATAGCTTACCTGGATTTTGGCATTGTTAAAGCCTGATCACCGCCCAAGGCGTGCGAGAGGTGGCTATTGCGTGCAGAGCAAGCCTTTCCATGACTATTTATTTGCTCTTAACCTAACCTTAATTTGAAAGCTGTAGAGGTTGAGGAAGAGTTTGAGGTCAGAGGTCACGGTCACACATTCTTTGCTTCGGTTAGTTTACGAATCTTTTTGCATCGAAAACACCTCAGGTGTCTTCCGTTCTACGATCCCATTCAGTGTGTGAAAGGATGGTCAGTGGGAGTTGTCATCACCAAAGAGGGCGGTCTCTTCCGAGCACATGTTTACAGCCGCAGGAATGACATCGAATTTGATAGATGACCACTAGTCTCATGCAGCTACTTTTTCGATGGACACAACGCAATATTTAGAGCCACAAAAAATGTATTAGTGCTTTTGCAAACCAGCTGTTGCTGATTATTTTAGGGTTATCTTCACAATCTTGTCGTGTTCTTCTAAAACACATCCGGTCAAACTGGCTCGGAATGCTCTTCCAGTTTCACAGTAAACGATTGGCAAGCAAAACACTGCCTTACTTATGGATGCCTGGCTCGGAATTGCCACGAGGTTTGCAAACTACGTTGTGATCCCAGTGACAAGCAGTGTTCCTGTTCTATTTAATACTTGCATCCATGCCCTGCAGTTGGGCGGAGGTGGTATTATTTAAAGGCACCGCTAGCAAAAAATGTAGTTTACCCTTTTTTGGCGGGAATTGATAGAACTACTCTAGAATAAAGCGATAACAGCGAAAAAACCGCAAAAAAAGACAAACAAAAAGAATTACAAAGGGTCAAAAAAAGAGCTGGAAAGGGGGTTGGACGAGTTTCACATTGAAATAACGGTGGCTAGGGGGTGTTCGGCCAAATTGGCAAGATGCCAGACCAGAGACGCAGTGTGTTGTCTGCAATAACAGACAACACATTGCGTCTCTGGCAATTTGCCAAATTGCAGTTTAGGGTGGGTCCTGACGCGATTACATGACGCTGTGTCGTCTCGACACTCGTCTGACATGACATCAGTCGAGAGGCGGAGATGCGAATTACGTCAACAACGGAGCTGCCACTACGCCCTGGACGTCGAGATTGGGAGAGTGAGAGGGTCCCTTCAACAACCCATGGGGGCCGCTGAGTATTAATAAGGTAAGATCTCAATAACTTTTAGTCGTGAATGGTGCCTTTAAGTGGCCTGGAGTATCTCACACGCACGGTCAGGGGTTTGTATCCCGGACTGATATCCGTCTGGGCCAACCGAGCCTGCCATCCCTCCGGGGTCCATCATTTGGTAGCAGACTCGTCTGGGAGGGTAAAAGCACTGACTTGTACATCGGCTGGCCGACTCGTCTGGGAGGGTAAAAGCACTGACTTGTACATCGGCTGGCCACTGTCAGTAGGCCACATACCTATTCATTACGCCACTACGATTCTGAATGGAGGTCGAGGGCGGGGCGCGTCCCTCAGACGGGATTGATTAACGCCAAAATCTTATCCTTCATCCTTTTGTGCCCTGCAGTTCCAACAAGAAACCTTGTCAAAGGAGACCTTGATGGCTACTTTGAACATATTGTTGTTGACCTTCCTGGTTGGGCAGAATGGTAATGAATAAGAATATTCTCAATGCTAAGATTCCAGTTTCATTTCGATGAAAGCTGTTGCCTTCGACAACTGTAGCTAGACATCAGTGAATGACAACCACTCAGGTTTTTCCTGTAAGAATTACTTGAGCTGTTCTGTTTGTTCACTGAGAACAAGGTATGTGTTCGTTCCGCTCAACTTTTTTCTAGTGGCATATTATTGCTACTCAAGTGGCCAGGTACGTATTGATAAGTTCGTTCTACTACAACGTTAAGGAAATATAGAATTTAATCTACGGCCCTCCCGAGTTTACTGACTTTGACACTGGCAGATCATCCGGGCTTAGGGCTGCGGATGTATGCGTACGGTTCATAGTTGAGCGCGAGGTTGATAAAAACGTGATATATGGGCACAGCAGGGGGCCACTTTTCAGACGATTCTTCGTGGGGCTCTGCAGGAAAGCGCCTTTCCCACGCCTTGCCAAGCTTTGGTTGGCTTCAATATTGCCTGATATTCCCTTTTATCGTAGTCCTACAATGTTGTGCCCTCAAGGTGTCACAGCAATATTGCTTTATGAAGCACGTGTGAGATGACCACAAATTCCGGTTCTCTAAGGCTCGTTCCACCGCTACACCGTTCACACCCTCAGGGCTACCTATCGTTTAAGCGTAATTATGCATAGCGCTAATAAAATTACTGTGATACTTAACGTAATGCTATAGTTGTAAGGAGGCATGAACGGAACAAAGTCTAATTTTTGGAAGCACGAAGCATTACACCAATTCCTGGACTTCAATGTTGGGAAGACGTTCAAAGGCACATATTGAGCTGACATGGGACACGTAACAAAGACTGTGGCTCCTACGAAAACCGCCCTCGGCCTCTAGTCCCCTACCAAGCCTGCCTTTCATTCAAGCATTACTTAATATTTATCAGCACCGCTTTTTGAGGACCTGCTTTCCCCGAACAGCCTGGACCGAGGACTGAAGACACTTCACCAACAAGAGAGGGTGGAGACGAAGCATGGACAACAGAGGAAGGACATATGGGGAACATCACAGGCCTTTTGACCAAGGAAGAACTTCGTGAAACTCACCACCAGCATCACCTAGGCTCCCTGAATTGACGAAAAAGTGAGAGTATGATATATTCGCAAAAAGGAAGGGTGGACTTACAGCTTCTAAGTCGTGGGAATTCACGTCTCTTATCGGCTTCACTAGATCGTAGCAATAAAATAATAGATAGTATGAGAAACTGACGCAATTTTCGCGTCATAGCCCAAGAAACGGAATCTGAAACGAATTCGTCAAGTAGTCTTCCAAGCTGACCAGTATTCAGTGCTCATAATAATTGAGAAAAACAAAATACTCAATACAAAGCTGAAAAACGTGAGAAGATAATTCTGTTAGGTATGATAATTGAAAGGAATTCTTAGAAACATCAAGTTGACCGCTTTGCTCGCTGACATTCATGGTATAATGGCAACACTACCGATTTCCGATCGCGATAAATAGCCTGTCATCGCACGTATCTATGGAACTTTTGCCTACGATTGTTCGTCTCCGAGTTTGCTGAACTTTTTTGCAAAGATTTTTTACATCCTCTATAGCCATTACCCGAAAACCCGAGCTCCCTGGACAGGTCATCCCGAATAGACACCCACAGAGCACAATGAGCTGAGGAAAATAGATATAAAAGGCCGTCCTATGAAAAACGTGCACCCAAAGCCTGGAAGAATTTGAAAGCTAAAGAATATACTATTTGTTTTATGCCCGAATATGCTTTTCTATGTGGGAGTTTCTACAAAAAAAAAATAGGGATCCTGAGCAAAAAATTCTCTAAAAGTGGGAAACTTAAAGGGTTTTGGGTTTTGAACTAATGTAAATGTTGGCTCTGGTTTGTTGCTCTCCATGAGTTCTTATCAGTTGGGCAGCAAGAGTTAATTTGTTCCCGGTGTTGGCGCCTGTCCATCATGAGCGACAAAACAGATTTGATGATATTTGATTAGAACTTTTATCAGGTTGTGAAAACATTGATCCAAGAGTAGTTCCAATTGCTGATGAGGTACGTGTGAGATGTCCAAAAGTACAGACCATGAGTCATCGACTTTCTGCTCGGACAGGTAGACAACAAAGCAACAAGGTGGAAAGTGAAATAAGGGCCGACTGAACGGGCCCGCTGGTAAAAATAAGTTCCTAATGAGCTCACATGTGAGGCATGGGACTTTTTGCATGACAAGAGCATCTCAAAAGCTGAGTCGCAATTTTCCAACGTAACGTAGGATTCTAGGGTAAGTGGGAAAGCTAACTATAGTGGGCGTCACGTTGAAGAGTAGATATTCCAGGTAAACGGTAATGGAAGCGGCAGAAAGCTTAAATGAGTTATATATTCACCAAATATGTACAATACACATAAAACACAGTGTAGATACAGTAAGTGAGAATATTTTTGAGCAAAGTCCAGTGCAGCGAAAAAAGAAAGAAAAACTGCGAGTCTAGAAAGCAAAAAGTTGTATAAAAGCATAGGCACACAGCTAGGTTTACTTGTCTCCATTACCAAGTACAACACTTTATCACGCTTTTTTATTTCGCTTTTCATATCTCTCCAGAATCGTCTCTATGAATATTAGGAAGGAGAGCGGGTCTTTGTTTTTCAAAGCATCCGACGTTGTACGGACCTTTGTAATTAACAGCAGTGAATGAATTTGTTAAGGATTCTCCCACCAAAATCGAGAACCACGTGAAGTGGGAAAGTCCATGGAATTATCGTTCTCCAACCGTTCCATATTTCTTGAAGTCTAGAGCATAACTAAGTAAGCGAAAACCTCGCAGTGAACTGGAAATTTTTGTTTGGTAGGCTGACAAATGATTTTCAAAGTTATCGATACCGATTGAAAAGCAAGATTAGAAGATCATTTCATCTTGATTCACAGCAATATTCAACTGCTAAGATCCAAAAATCAGTACGAATGTTCAAATGGAACGTGTAAGTTCAGGGGTTGCACGCAAAGAAACATGGCAAGGTCATCGGTCCAACTTGGTGCTGGTTTCAGTGGCGCCTAGATAAGGTCTCCGCTGTCACCACAACTCGGACAACAGACCCTCCCGTCAATAAGCTGAATCTTCCGGAACTTTTAGTAGTTGTTGGGGATCCTTGGAGAAAATGTAACACAGGCTGTGTAAAACAAATATATAAGTTTTATTCACCGATAGAGAAGAATAAATGGAAGACCTGAGGAAAACGCTGGAAGATAACGACTTCGATTTAGGGAGAAAATGAATTCCTTGTTTTCCTTTGGGGCTATATATGTGATTCAGAGGTGTAACGATACTGATTTGGCAAATTTTACTATTCCATCCGATCGTCTCGCATTTAGCCCTTTGATTTTAATGTGGGGGCCGAGAACGTTGTTAATAACTGCGGAAAAGGTTCTAATTGAACATTTGCATGACTTGCAACTCCCGAAATGGCATAGCTTTGGACGGTAGGATGTCGTATGATGGCTTGAAATTGAAAGATGCAAGCCATTAACCAAAATAATAACTTGAGATGTGAAGGAAATATGGAATATGAATGAAGTATGGGCCTCGCATGAATATTAATCACCTAGATAGTGGAACTTCATTGATGCCTCAACATTTCGGATGATCTTTAGAAAATTGTCGAGCTAAGTATTCAAAGTCGTTAGTAAGAGTTTTCAACGAAAGAGGAAGTGGGATGAAGCCATTGTCATTGGCTGGAAGTGATCGATATGAAGTATTTATACATAAAAACTTAGACATACATCGAATATAAAGTCTGCCAAAAAGAGGAGGTGCCTTCAGGTACCTGATTGAATGCTTCAGAAGCGACAGTTAATGAAAGACAATCCGATTGCTGTAGGTTACCCTAATTTATAGGTTATTTGGATTTTTCAAAAATTATGATCATCGAATTGACTCAAGCTGGATTAACAGACGCAAAGGTACTAAGGGACACTTCATAGGATTTTTAGACTTCTTTAAAGTCATGGTAGAATGCTCAGGGGTACATTTTCTTCTGAAAAAGTCTAAAGAGCAGAAATACTGCGGAGGAGAGGAGAACATTACCCGTCTGAGTCTGAAAGACGTTTCATCTTGGAAGAGCGTTGGCTAGGTGATACCGCTCCTTTGTAAGAATGCAGGTAATTGTGGTCTCCCTTCAGCATCGCTCAGATACTGCTTGGTAGTGAGAATCACACCTTCACATTAACGACTCCCTGCCTAGGCAGCTCTAACTATGCAGCTATCACATGGAAGGATGAGGGGTCATGGATCCCCCACTCTTTATTGTCTCATAGCTTCGATGGGTTCAAAGGAACTATTCAGCTATTGGCCTACAGGAAGATGAGCAATAGAATCTCGGATTGATCTTAGCTACTTCATCGAGGCAATACAGTAATCGACGGTTGCTCCAGCTTATTGCAGATTCAAAACTGCACTGTCATTGCGACGCAGTTTTTGACTACAAAAATTACAACCCGGTAGGATTGAAAGAACTTCAGAAAAGGGGTGATGTGGTTTTTTTTTTTCATGTCAAGTTCAAACCTTATTTGACGTTGGCGACGCTAATAAGGTGGTGTGAAAAGTTTAGGGTGCGCGTCTCTGACGGCACATATTGAGGAGATTAAGGTGTGGAATAGAAGGTGATTGGAGGCTCAAGGTCAGGCGAAGGAACGACGAACACTGCCGATCGCACAATCGCCGGAAGTCTTAGGTAACATTGTCAGGAAGGGGAAATGTCATGCAATACCTCGCAATGCGAACCATTCGCAAGCGTATACGGTAAAAGCGATCATTATGGTGATAGAACCTCCAGCAAGATGTACACTAAAATTCGCATTTCATTATCAAGTCGTAACGTAATCGGTTTATATAGTAACAAAGGATATATAGCTCTCTAACCGTTCACCTTCTCAGAACAAATGATACATTTTGACTTGATCTTTTGTTAACTGCTGTTACTTCGCAGCCCTTTGGAAGTCTAACATATTTCTAAACACAATTTTTCCGGANTCATGCAATACCTCGCAATGCGAACCATTCGCAAGCGTATACGGTAAAAGCGATCATTATGGTGATAGAACCTCCAGCAAGATGTACACTAAACTCCGCATTTCATTATCAAGTCGTAATGTAATCGGTTTATATAGTAACTAAAAGGATATATAGCTCTCTAACCGTTCACCTTCTCAGAACAAATGATACATTTTGACTTGATCTTTTGTTAACTGCTGTTACTTCGCAGCCCTTTGGAAGTCTAACATATTTCTAAACACAATTTTTCCGGACGGGAAATGCCTAAAATCGTGCGTCCGCTCCAACTTTGACCCAGGCGACGAAGTAAGAGAGCATGGCATAAGCATAGTAGCGTAAATAACTTCAATAAGGGAGGCGCTTAGGCTCACAATTGCGAAGTATGGCGCTGTCATTCTTGATCCTCATAATACCCATCCATGATGGATCGAATTTTCTTTGTGCTGAGCACCCTGGATGGCCCACCGAAATCTTAAATAGTAGTGAATATGTTCGCGACTGATCTGGTAACAACAGAAGTCATTGGACATGACTCTTTTGAGATTCGCTGACATCGGAATAGAATGGAAGTAGCCCAGAAGCAGTTTGAAGAGTGACCGCAAACCGTGATGCGAGGAGGTTGCAACTATGTAATATGTACCAAAAATACAAATTTGTCTCTTTATAAGACACTTAATCTACTCTACCATCTCGTCTTATCGTATAAGATAGACTAACTGTTAAAGCTACACCGAAACCACAAAGCTGAACGGCTCTTGCCTTCGCCAAGGTTTCTTCCAATCTTTATCAGCTCTTTTCGCTCCATGTAATTTGTTACCTGGATCCAATTAGGCCCTTTATCGTACAATGAAATACAACGATTCCGTTGACAATGCTAATGTTGCCATCGTCCAAAATTTCAAAGTTCAGGGTCGAAACGAAGGGCGCAGTGGACCTAATGGGAAGTGCCTGCAATAGTTCCTTATCACGTCTAATGTTGCCAATCACCGATTGTCCGCAATCCACGATCTTGGCCCCTTCCGCAACAACCGCTCTTGTCTCTCCTGTCTGTTGTTCCCACTTTCTATCACCAAGTATCTACGATACCGTCACATTCCCTACCTCCCCTAAAATCTAGTACATAGAATGCAAATCAAAGGGTAAAAGCGATTTCGTCTTTTAAAGCTCGATATTAGTCCCTATCAATTATTATCACTTCCTGTCGCCTAAAGTCAATGTCGTGCTCTGACTTTACACCTTCCATGTTCGAACACCCTAGATCAACGGGGAACAGCAGTATGAATCTCCTGCC